CAACCTCGAAATAACAGTCCCGATTGGCATAATACGTTCGAAAATGGACGCATCAATGACTCCCCTCTGCTTTGAGCAATACAAAATATTAGACAGCGCTCCATCTAATTATCTATTTCCGTCGACTTGGCAAAATTCGACCGATCACTCCATACGGTATTCATTCTATCTATGTAATCCCTTCGAATTAGCAGCACGATCCCCGTCCCCTTACCCGTTTTGGATAGTATAATATCTTTATAACATCTCTAGTATAACATCTGCAGTCCTCTTAATCGTCTGATGCGTTCCGTGGTCACCAGTTCGTTCGTCTTTAGTTTGAAACATTGTTATTCTGTGTTCACCACTAAATTAGCCGTAGCACTTTATTGCAACTTCTGAAAGTATCACTTGTACCTATGCTACGCTTACATGTGAAAAAAGTCATAGTCTCATTTCGCCACATTTACTATCTGGTTCGAAGTGTTCTGTGTGAGTCTGATCCTTCCTTTGCAAATGTTTTCCGTCAGTACGCAATGGAGTCAGCAAGCAATCAGTTCTTGTTCAATGTTATGTCCTGTTTATTCCGCTCCCTTACCGTTCATTCATAAGTGTTTTATATACCGGAAAGTGCAGTTTGTTCTTATAAATGGCCAGTCACGTAATCTTTTTCTTCAAACCATTTTATTGCTCTAAACGTTTAGAACGATTAAAACGTTATGCTTCTTGTTGCTCTATTCACTATTTTTTCGAGGGTTGTTACCTTGGAATATTGCAAGTAATGATCGGTTTTTGATAAACCATCACCCTTTAATTGTATACTGTGAATGCAATTGAAATGCAATCTTGATTTGGTACCACATATGTAACAAGGTGCTTCAATTCAACGATTTATATGGTTATTTGTGAATAGGAGTGATGACTTCATCACCTTTCAATATCGGATATGGCCCAACGGCATTATGTATAGGTTAGCTCATCCGTTTTACGGGCTCGATTTACTGTACTAAAACCCTCTGTTTGTATGATATTAGCTACGTTTGAGTCGTAACATTGACAGTCTACACATGTGTGAAACTGGTTGCATTTTTGAATGACTTTTATACGCTAATACTAGAGTCCAGTATCACTGTAGCACTTCCCAAGGGCGTAAACCTATTGCAATTGACAATGGCCCAATTGTTTTAAGAAATGACGGCAGAAATCGGGTAAAATTTCTGTTAGTTTTATACGATGAATGAAGATACACACAAGTGATAAATGATACTCCTTCCATGGTAATCACACAATGTTTGTTAACATGCAAATATAATGTGACATTAAAATAGAGAGTGAATGATCAGCAATGTGAAGATCAGCAGATTTGTGAGGGAAACCGATATACCTGAAATAAGAACGTCAAGATAACTGAATAACCGAGGGAGAAAGCCAGGTGCAGCGATGCGTTTCAGCAATCATATCACCATTGAAAAATAATACCGTGTGTTATGCTATAGCGGTGTTTTCGGATTCTAAATGTAATCGAACCTTAGAAAAAGTAAACATTTCGAAAACCTACCCAATGAATACTGAATTTTGAAAGCTCTCAAATCGGGGACTATTGGTTCCAGAAACGACACTTCGATTGGACTGGGAATCGATATGAAATTGATTTCATCACTTGCGCAAAGTGAGTAAATAATCTCTGATGTCCTCGTGTGTTTAACAACCACGCATTTACCTCGTTGTGCTTCCTGTGAAAAAAAAATAAAACAGCATCGAAAAGTGGCGTCCAACTAGCATTTTGTGCATGGTAACTCATTTATTTCAGCAGTGTTTGTGAGTATTCATACATTTAGAACGTTTCGGAACGAAAAAGCATTGAAACAATTTTAATTCTAGAGTAATTCTTACCCCATCCTCGACAGCCTTCACTGTGATATTTCCACCGCTTTTGCTTTGAATTTTAACGGTACAGGCAAAAGTCAGTGGGATAGTTTTCCCCTTGGATCCGATGTAGAACTCCTGTGGTTCTTGTTTTGCAGTCAGAAAATCTGCTCCATCCCCGCAAGTGGAAACCGATGGCGTTTGACGTTCTGATGATGACACAGGACACAAATATCAGATATACCATTTCAAATGAGAATAGCTAAAAACCTGGTATGTTGTTTTGCAGATTAGTAGGTATTTGTGAAAGAGAAACATGGTTTGATTACCAAAATAGTGAACTGGAAGCAGTAATCGCTAGCAGATGAGTTCCATAAATCGCAACATTTTTTATAACGAAGCTAAACCAGCTTCACTATCTTTCTTTGTAGATTAACAGGCAAAGCAGACAACATCAAAATAACTTTATGATCAACTAAAAGGATGAAAAAAATGAAAATTCAAAAGTTTTATATACTATTGGTTTACACCTTATACAAAGTCTACAGCACTTCGGTTTATGATTTCAACGGATACGTCAAGTAAAACAGCGAACTGTGTGCAGGTTGGTTTTGAAAAACACACTTGAACAACTTAAGTGTGGATGCTCTCAAATCTAGTCCGGTGGAAGAGAAATATAGCTGTGTTCTAAAGTAAGCGAATGCGGCCCGTTTTGGAATCAGAAAACAACGAATAAGGCAATTAAAGACATGACTTCACCAGCGACCAATGGGAAAATTAGTCCACTCGAAATGAAGATTTATGGCAATAGACACCATTCTACTTTAGGAGCAGATGCTCAGGCGGACGACTGCAATAATGCTGAAATTGCATTGTGCAATTGAATTTACGAGAGGTTCTCATAGATTCATGCCTAATGGTCGATGTGACTAGCAATAATGAAGCATCCACATGTCGCTCTATTCAATTCTAAAGTAATAAAAATCTCGTAAATTATAAAAGACTAGCAACACAAGGTGTAGCTATTGAAAATAGGGAAGTGCGGTGAAATATTCACTAGCACACCTGAAATTACAATCGGAAGGCAAAGATTGGCAAACGGTTGTACACAGAAAAATTGATACAATAAAAATACGCAAAAAGTAATGAAAGAAGCCCACAACTCGAAAATGAGAACGTCAAGAAAAAGAACGTTACGAAACAAGAACAGGGTCAAAAAAGGAATTATACCGAAATGCGGAGAAGAAAAAACAAAAAAAAATTCAACACAAAATTGACACAAGACGATAAAACCAGCACCAACCTAGGCTATAAATAACGCGAAATGAAATAATCGCCCACACGTGTTTAGCAGGATAGTGTATCTCAATCCCACTTCCTTTGGACGTAAACATTGCCGGATGAGATCCACTCGTGCACACTTGAGTACCATCTCCACTGCCAGATCCAGATTTGTTCTTTATCACCACACACTGATCCGGACTTGATTGCTGCAAACAAGAAAAAGTTGACATGTAATGCAATATTTCATCTGTGACCGAAGCATTCTCCCATTGTGTTATTATTGTAATGGAATACATTTTCTTCCACTTACGCCATCCGCAGCCACAGTCACGAGGATATTTCTGGTCCCCACATTGTTTACGACAACGGTGCACGTGTATTCGCCCGGGATATTCGTGTTCGCTTCTCCGATGTAGAACTCAGATACACTTTCAGTAGCTGCGAGCGGACCGGCGATATCTTTGCACTTTCGAATTCGCGAATCTGTTCAAAACACACATGCGAGAAAACAAATTTGCTCATCACAATGATGATTCTATAGTTTGTGGTTTCAAACGTTTCATTAGTCCCACAAAACACATTGTGAACAACAACGTGGTGAACAAGCTCGTTTTCAGTTATTCGTAATCATCCCATTACATAACGTTACATGCACCTAACAATAAGAACAATCAAGGATGGCTGATAGACTCGAGTCCTAATGATTTACCTCCGACTCTAATCATGCTTGCATTTGTGCTTGTGTGAAATTGATCAGGGAGTCAAAAGTTCAAGTGATTGTACACGTGTGGTGGTTTGTTTCTCCCTCACATTTAGTTCCCAATTTCCAATTCACGTATTATCTGACATTTTTGTCAAATCCATCCATGTACATGCCACTTCATTTCGCATGCATAAATTTGTACGAATAAAGTCACATGATGCGAGCCAGTCGGCCGCGTGCTCGTGTCATTCTAAATGCTCATCACACTGGTTAGTGCATTTCCGATAACTTCTCCTGGGGAACGTATTACAAGAGCGTGATGAGGGGAAATCTTGAACGAGGAACATAACCAGTGTGGCCCTTTTCAATTGAACAGTGTTGCGACTTAGTTTTATTTGATTGTGGTTAGTGCAATTTTATTTGCATTTAAAAGGGTTTGTATTTTCCGTGTTTAATGATCACCTCGTTGTGTTGGGTTTGAAGCGCGAGAAATCGATGTTCCTTTAGTTTCGGTTTCAGAAAAGGCTGTTGGATGCACAATTAGGATTGGACATTACGAACGTTTCCCATAAGTTACTAGCCCATTCATTTCAATGGAAACATTTCAATGAAGCTCCATGATGAATTGTATTTTCTGCACTAAACGCGTACAAACCCCGTTTATGATTTGCAGCACATACTGCAATGCACTCACGAATTTTTACACTTACTCCAACTTATGCAATCATTTGCTTGAAAATATTTGGAACATGTCTATCGTTGTCAATTCACATTGACTCAATACGTTCCATCGATTGCCTATGAGGCTAATTGTACAAAACGTATTGCAGTACAGCGCTACAGCCTGATGATGGATAAATGTAGGGATAAAATGTTAAAGAGAAACACGGGGCTAATCGTATGGACATTATCAGTATTCTCACCCGCATACCCAAGTATTGTAGAGCCTGGTAACTATTGTGAAGTAGCACGGTACTCACAAATGAGGATCACAGACTTGAGTTCATCACATGGAATAATATTGGAATGCGCACATCCGGAATTCTGGCCAGCATAAGTCTAAGTTCAACTTGCCGGGGATTTGAAATATTCTGACTATCATTTACGGAAGGTTCGTATATTAAATCTCGTCGATAGACGGGAACTATCTATAAATTCGAATGATGTGTTTCAGCCAATCGTGATTTGGGAATGAACTCGTAGATATCGGTATGCACCATTCACTAACGGTTGTTATCTACATCAACGCAGAAGTGGAGAATGAAAAGAAATATCAAACAATTCAGCATAAAACGGTACAATAAATACAAAACGTACCCAGCACGAAAGTCACTCTGAAGGCCTTGATCGTCGAGACGTGTTTAGCAGGATAGTGTATCTCAATCCCACTTCCTTTGGACGTAAACATTGCCGGATGAGATCCACTCGTGCACACTTGAGTACCATCTCCACTGCCAGATCCAGATTTGTTCTTTATCACCACACACTGATCCGGACTTGATTGCTGCAAACAAGAAAAAGTTGACATGTAATGCAATATTTCATCTGTGACCGAAGCATTCTCCCATTGTGTTATTATTGTAATGGAATACATTTTCTTCCACTTACGCCATCCGCAGCCACAGTCACGAGGATATTTCTGGTCCCCACATTGTTTACGACAACGGTGCACGTGTATTCGCCCGGGATATTCGTGTTCGCTTCTCCGATGTAGAACTCAGATACACTTTCAGTAGCTGCGAGCGGACCGGCGATATCTTTGCACTTTCGAATTCGCGAATCTGTTCAAAACACACATGCGAGAAAACAAATTTGCTCATCACAATGATGATTCTATAGTTTGTGGNTCAGCATAAAACGGTACAATAAATACAAAACGTACCCAGCACGAAAGTCACTCTGAAGGCCTTGATCGTCGAGACGTGTTTAGCAGGATAGTGTATCTCAATCCCACTTCCTTTGGACGTAAACATTGCCGGATGAGATCCACTCGTGCACACTTGAGTACCATCTCCACTGCCAGATCCAGATTTGTTCTTTATCACCACACACTGATCCGGACTTGATTGCTGCAAACAAGAAAAAGTTGACATGTAATGCAATATTTCATCTGTGACCGAAGCATTCTCCCATTGTGTTATTATTGTAATGGAATACATTTTCTTCCACTTACGCCATCCGCAGCCACAGTCACGAGGATATTTCTGGTCCCCACATTGTTTACGACAACGGTGCACGTGTATTCGCCCGGGATATTCGTGTTCACGTCCCCAACGTAAAATTCATAGGGAGCTTCGCTGGCTGTCAATGTTCTGGTTTCCGACTTGCATGTTGGCTTCTCTGCTCCCACGTAACCTGTAATATGTGTAAGTAAATCATGTTAGTTTGAGTTTCACTTTTAATTTAAAGACAAAATGTTTAACCAACCCACAGGAAAATAGTGTCACTAAAATCCACTTTAATACGTTCATTTTTTTCTCTTGTGTTTCATGTGCGTTGATTAGACCCCTTTTATATTGCCTCACGAAAATGCTTTCACTTTCACCTTAGAACTGAATGTTTTTCAGTTTCAGACCTTTTTAATTCAACCCCCATCACGTCGCTAGGCTGCCTTAATTTGACGTTGAAGCCACCCCGCGATCTTCCGTTGTAAAGCGCGCATTGTTCTAGCATACCATTACTTTGTCAGCAACGTGAGGGTTTCAGATTTGCAAAGCAGTACACTAAGATTGTTTACTTAACCCAAATGTCATTTATTCTCACACAGTGTTTTGCGATCCTTGTTCCAATTTACACAACACACCTCATTTTGCCACAGGGGACAACCGACATGATTGTTTATAAAAGTTGTATTGTTCCCGTCGTGGTCTTACTCGCTCTGTTATTCTCAAAACCTTTCATGGGACAAACGCGAGTGCGAACAACTCGAAATTGATGAACCCACTTTTCATTTACTGATTTACTACTTGTGTCCCCATGGCCCAAACTTCAATTAGTGAGTATCTACTTTACATCAGGAAAATCAACTCGGTTTTCAGCGTTTTTGTTGTCACTTGTATCGATCATACCATCTTATGAATCTACTGTGCTTTTAGGCACAGGGGATAGCAATCATTTCACCCACCACTTGAACGTTTGTCGGAAAACTAAAGGAGTTTGTCCATACAAATATCCCGAAAAATTTCGTTGTTTCTGTATATGTACATGTTTTTTACATGTATCTTACATGTATATTCATTTATGCATGACGAAATCTATTGATTTCAGCCGAACATTATTTAGAATATATATCCACGTCCAATTCCCAGGTCATCCAACTAACCATACACTCAAGAAGCACTATACTGAAGTTTCGCTTGTCAAATCACATCAACAGTGCAAATCCAACAGACCATCCGGGAATCGGAACGCGAAAACCCTGAGATAGAAGACCGGACTGTTAACATAGTACCCCACAGGACACAGTGAAGTTGATCGGATTTATTCATTGAAGTTTCTCTAGATTTCAGCAATCAAAGGAGCTATATTTCTCTACCCTTAAATCCTCTTGAATTGTTCGATCAAATAATAACTGCCAGGCAGAATCAGTCCTTCGAAAATTAAATCCTCTATTGTTTGAGCATGAAAAGACTTGGGAGTTCAACCATTGGTATCTGATGGATTCTAGCTGCTCTCTCAGTTGGAACTATTACATAATTTCCTGGAGCCAACTTTGCTTTATTTTTCCTAAAATTTGCCAAATACGAGCATACCTTATGAGGCAAACAACGGATTTTACAAAAGTAGTCCCCTTATAGTTTATTACCATCTATTTATTATTATTATATTATTATTTATTTACGATGCGTTGTTTAGGGTACTAGCTTATACCTCCATTAGTGCTTGCTGGCAATTTGTTGCACGAAGGTTCAAGGAGCCCGCACTTCTGTTGCATACAATACCTTCACATTGTAGATTGTTTTTACTACTCGGGTGTTGTCGCACATAAAATAATCAGTCTCGACAAGTCAGTCACATTTGTTTAGAACCGAAGCAGTCCAGCTGTGCTGTGTTTAACAGTTGCCAAGTGGGGATTGGTATGGAGCATATTAGTCACCAAGTCGTCCGGAATATCTTGTTCAGTCCGATAGGACATGTGCCCAGCCATCTGATTACAGAATTGACTTTATATTGTGCTGGCATATCTATTATCACACCCACAGTAGAACTGGCGGGAGACCGTGAAGTTGGCGAACGTAGATAGGTCCTCGCTAAGTGGCAAGCAAAGAAGACGCTTAGTGTGGTATTCGTAGTGTTAGTTGTATGACGATAATAAGCAATCCTGTGACATACTCTGTCCATGTTTTCCATAACACTGACTCAAACCTTGTTTGTGATAATACATTACCTTATACTTTTCCGCGTGCGTTTAATGACCAAAACGTTTTGATCAGGTATATATATATATATATATATATATATATATCAACTGGGTCTTGCTCTAACCCACAACAGAGGTGTGACAAGTTTTCAGTTTGCTCGATCTGCCATTGAAAGCAGTTAGTCGGCTATTTTTTGAAACACGAAACACCAAATAGACTTCATCCGACATTCTTGGGCAGCACTGTTTCAATGTTATAAATCCACTGAAGAATGCAGAGCCATTTGATAAGAACAACGAGAAAGGTATCGATAAAGTGGCATCTATACAAAAAATGTATCATTTGGATCAAGTCTCCCACAAAGGCATAGGTTAATTAATGGAGCACTCGGACGGTAGATGCGCGTTTCTCGTAGCTACCATTTTGAATGCAGCAATTTGCTTTATGTGATATTGTTCATTCGTGATCGCTGTGAGAAACAGCCATTCACGCTCTTTTGCGCAATCCAACCATACTACTCACAAAATTTGCAGTTAACTCCCTTTAGCGGATATCGTGATAAGCGCAATCCGCCACCCGTATTTCGATAGTCTTACTAGTGATCCCGCTTTCTTCCTTCAGGTAATCATTTTTGAAGTGTTCTGTTGTTTTTTGCCCATTAGGTTAATCGTTATAATCGGTTTGGTGCAATGTTATTACAACAGAGGAATTATAAAATGTAGATGACAAGAAACTGAACCCATAATTGGTTAGTTATTAAACAGTAGCTTGTATTTAGAGTATCAAGCTTGTCTGTCATCATAAAAATTTTCATCGCATTCGAGTGGCTTGTATACCTAGGGTTTAGTTTACCACCTTGGAAACTCATTTTCTGGCTCCCAAGGTGCGTTCGACAACCAGCGTTCGACGTACAGTATCGCGGTAGGGGTCTTGCGAACTGGATGTCCGCCGACAGGTGTAAATTTTTCATATTTCCTTTTATTGAGTACACAATGATACAATTTTCAGGAAGGGGTAAGCGGCCAATCATAGGGCTACTGTACAACACACAAATGGGAAAAGTCGGCGGTGGTAGTGGGATTCGAACACTCGTCCTCCGGGGAGGTAATTTGGTGACGTTACCACCAACTACTGGAAGACAACGCGTACCACATTCTGAAGGTTTCAATATTCCAGTCTCTCACTCCATCACGGGAGGAATGCCACTGTCAACTACTGGTTCATCACCTTGTTGCTAACACTACTCCAAGTAGGCACATGGAGCGTCTACGCACGTTCAGCAGTCTCGCAAAAGTGCACTAGGACATCATTAGAGTTTGAAGGGCTCTAGTGTTACCAAATCAGGCATAGCCTAAGCCAGTAGCCTTGCCAGAAGATGCGACTATTGAAAAATAACCTCTATCATCGATAGGTTTATCCCACATTTTGGTTGTGAGGATAATGTCCCCGTTTACATTATACCACCAAACAACACTTGGTTCCGCAGCTGCAACCAAAGCGTAAACAACATGGACAAAATTATCCTCAAACTCCATAGACTTGCCCCGAACAAGTATAACCTCCCATTCATGTTCGCCCAAAGTTAGCCCACCAAAAGCATTGGAGGACTCGACTATGGCTATCATTGAGTCCACTATAACTAGGAGTAAAGAGCTTGCTTGTGCAGGAAACCTTACACCGTCGCAATTGGAAAACCGTATGCTGGCAAGTAACCCTGGGCCATACTGCGCCCCTCCCCCCGTTTAGTTCGACCGTTCATTTATCGTAAGTGAACACAGTACGAAGGCTAGGTTTTTGTTTATACATAAGCCCAAGTTGCAGTCCGTTCTATGTGTCGCTGTGTTCCACGAGCTACAATGATTCTACTTTGCACTACGAATGATTGTCACATTCTTGAAACGGAAAACATGACGATCAACCTGGAAGAGAAACAACTCTATCTCTGGAAGTTTATTCTTCACAATTGGTCCCACTGGAATACTTGGTATTAGTTGATTCACATAGACTGTGGCTGGTCAATCAAAGGTTGGGTAATACATTCACAAGTTCTATTTCCCTAAACGTAATTTAACCCCCGATATCCCTGTGGATTTTTATGGCATCACGTCAACAATTGACGGCACTATAGTTTATTCTTAGACTGAACTGATACGAGCTTGTCAGTAGATTGCATTTACCACAAAATATGTCGAGAAGACTCCTGACACGACTATTTTCCGTTTGTTTGACCATCTGCATGTCTTTTGGTTTGCAAAACGATCCTGCTGCTCCTCAAATGAACAGCGACACTATAACTCGATCTTTAGGTTTTTTTATGGTTACATTGGTTATTTATCCATTGCCTCTTCAAATTTAGTTGAACAATATAACTACATTCATGATCTAGGTAGCTCAGAGTTTAGATAACATTATTAAGGTAGACAATCTCAATGAATATGATGGGCTTGGAAAATAGAACTCATTTCCCTGAGTCACCAGGTCACATAAGGGAGGTGTTTTCATGTGAGTAAAAGATGAGTGCCATTAGATGGTATAATTTTTCACCGTGCAATGCATTTCGATAAATTGGTAAGTTTCTATGGACGATCCATTCAAAACTCGGTACAATAACTTAAAACTGCTCCGGATTCATTTTGCTCTAATCCACGTAATTTTGTGCTTACGGATACCGCATATAACATTTCTTGTGCATCCTGCACCGTCAGTCACGCTTATCATAGTGGTTGATGCCTTAGATTAGTCATGTCTTGTGCCTTACTCTCAACACTTTATTTTCAGAGAAAGAACCCGTAATACTTTAGGGCACGTTCTGCTCGCCTCTTTCAACATCCGGCAGTATTTTCGACAAGAGGAGAAACTTCACCCATTATACAGGCCTCTTGTGAACGCTTTATATTAACTACGTGTNNNNTAGAATTTATCTTGCATTTTACGATTGATATTAAACGTGCTCAAGGTTCTCTACATCTCTATTTTCCCCAGACAGCCTTTGTATGGCCGCAACCCCTTCATGAAAGTTGAATGTATATTTGTATATTCAATAAATAGAAAAAGGAAGTAAAAATACAGTTACATTTACATTTTGCATTTTACAAGTTAAACTTTTTGCAGAGGCTTTATCACGTACTGAACTCATGACATCAAGTCAACGTCATATAAGTGTGTTACGGCTGAGACACAGACATAATTAGTCTTGCAGAGAAGCGATTCAACGAACATTATGTAAGATGTCAGAAAATACCATCGGTGACTTCTGTTTGTACATGCTTATGCTAAATTTTCGCTGGTTCACCTCGACTTACTGTTTCCTCATCTTATCACCATATTTTTCAAAACTTTACACGGTTTACCTCGATCATGCATCACAGCTGCACTTGGTAAAATTCTGCACAATGATGAACGCTGATGTTTAGGGACGTTCGCACGTGAGTGAAACGGTGTTTGCAGTGTCAAAGATCTTAAGTGTATTCGTACGTAACTGCACCTATTGGAACGGTTACTCCGCCTGACGGTTACTTTGATCACGTGCACATCACCATTGTGATTTGCTTGCCTCTATCGTACAAGTATTTACCGCATCCTAAGAAAACCGTCGACGTAAATTCCAATTGAATATCAACCAATCGTTTTCGGAGATAAATTTATCAATCTTTATCTTTCTTTTTTCAGTGATTTTGAGGAACACAGCAACATTTCTCTAAGCAGAACGGAAAAAAAGTTCGACCTTTTCCCGTCAAGTGTATTTTACGCACTAAATGTTTAATATCAATTTATACTGCACTATCCCGCTGATTATAGGACAGTATTAAACACCGTGCAGGCTGGCAAGTAGCTTTACACTGCAAAAGCTCAGAAACTATCTATACCCACTATTTGCTTATCAAACCTATGGTCAACATTTGAAAACAATTAGCGGCTTCAGAAAGTCAATGAAGATAAAAGGGTATGTATCCTGGATGATTATGCTGCAAGAATTTCGGTTAAATCTTGACATCAAGGACTCCCTTGTTTAGCTGGATTTCTTTGATTTCCACAGGTTAGATAGAAAATGTTTATTGCGAAATGATGATATTATAATACCGTACAACAAATAATTTTGGTGCAATTCTAATAAGATTATCTTCGCCCGCAGTGAAGGTCATATTTCACTTATTTCGTTTGAATGTAAGCCCCGTTTTCTCAGTAAATATCGTTACATCGTAGCATCAAACATTTATGGGTATTTAAAAAACTATCGCAAAACCCAGATGCTTATCACATTTGTTGCACGCGTTTGGTCAGCAGCTGTACATCGCACCCCTACGGTACAACTTCTGATGAACAAACGTTTGCTGATTTCATTACAAAGGTGAATTCGTCGTGTATATAGCAAATGAAGTGTGAAGTGAGAAGCAAGGAAGCACTGGACAGCTGGTTCGACCTGGTTGGGTCTCATCAGCAGTGCAAACCTATCGACCCAACTGGGGATTTATTTACATCCAAACCTCCTCCCTATAGTAAACTTACCCATTTTACACTCAGTAGTGATTTTATTCATGCCTACCTGTCTGCCTCTTCACAATATCGTAAACGTCTCCACCAGAGCAAACGCGCAGCTTGACCTTGTGTTTTCGAACGAACCTGGCTTGTTTTGCGTCCGAAGAGGACCCAATCTAACAAACTTCGATCATTGTATGATAAATCTTTCGCCAAAAGGTTACTCAAAGAAACCTCATGGTACCCTAACACTTGCATTCAACCGGAGGATTTTCCACGGGCTGCACGACCCGTTGCACTTGGCATCATTGAGAAAAATGGTCTCTCATACGAAATTCGATCAGTTCCATGACCCAAGTGTCTCAGCCGAGTGTGAATACCTCAATGGCTACTTAATTTCTGCTTTGACCTCTGATTCCTATGTACATCAGTCTCGCGGGGTCTTCTTCCCCCCCTCTTTGACGACCTACAGAATAATTTAGGAATAAGTATAAAATAATCCAAATCGGGCTTTAGTTAAGCCAGTGTTGATTAGGACTGAGAATTGAAATCTTAACATACTCCACACTGAAACTTTACTTGAAATTGCAAGCAAATCGTGAGTACAAAGTAAAGAACTTTGTGGAACAAAATTCAAACTACGCGGACCTCACCTCACAAGAGCTGAGTTCAATAACAAGTTTCCATTTCAAATCAAACGGAAGTATCGGATTCCTACTTCCAATCAGTTGATCATTATGAGTTTTGCATGTGAATTCTCATCATATACGGGCACGCTTGATGGGCCTCGAAACATCAGAAGCTGTTGATCCTATCGTACTCAAGACACGCTCATTGCATTTTGTCAGTGTTTTCAACTGTTACTCAGAGGAACAAAAGGTTGCGAGTGCTGGAGCCCCCAAAATGGAAACCGGGACCAATCGCTTGCACCTCCGTTTACCAAAGAATTTTGCTTCATAACATTATTCCTAAAACTGGGACGTTAGTTCCCGGCAATCCGCCAATTGCGAACAACGTTATACCTTAGAAACCCATGTGCACTTGGTAAGCTCATTTTTGCAATCCCTAGACAGGCATGCAACAGCACTTCGTGTGTTCTCTCGACTAAAATATTTTCTTCAATCGTGTTGACATTAACAGGCTTTTGTTTTTATTCACTGATGCTGGATTATCCATTATTACCCGGTCTCTGCTTCAAGATTATTTTACTGGTAGAACACAATTTACAAAGTTCCTTATGAAAACTTCTGACTTACAACCGGTCACGTCTGAGGTTCTCCAGGGATCAATACCTACCCCTTTAATTTCCTCTTTCTAGATCTTTCAAGATCTACCAACAAACCCAGATAATCATTTTATCAAGTATACTGATGAGTTCAGTATGAGTGCCAGATCCCAATAGGAGTTCCGCTCTTCACAGTTGCAGATTTTCATCTGGACTTCACATTTAAACTCTACTTGTAAAAAAGATTCGACGATTGTATTTTTTTCCGCTTGGGAGCTTTAAACGTTCCACTAAATTTTCTCACCGGTTTTGTGAATTCTTGTCTTCGTTCATCTTCTTTACTGCTCCTCAATTGTATTTCACTATCTTGTAGGTAAATACTTCTCAATTCTATGCCGGTTCGTTAAAAATATTTTGTGAACAACCGACGTTCGCGATTTACACTTGCTCAACGTTATCACCTACAAACATTTAGCAAATCTGCAAAAATATTCTATCAGACTACTGTAATGATCATGATAGTAGTTGTACGTACGAAATTCGGAACACAAACCATGCAATAGGAACCACAGGACACGAATCAAGGATCATTTATCACGGACTGGACTACGGAAGCACTGGACCGCAATGACATGAGCTCGCAATATCCCACGTGAACGAGACGCGACGAAAAGTCCAAAAGAATGGTAGCTCGCAGTTAGTTTATTGGAAGAAATAAGGGCGACTAAATAATATGTACAAAAGAAGATCATTGGATATCCAGGCATCCACTAATCGTATTGCAGTATTGCTTACATAACTCTGCTTCTGTCTGCACTGTCTTGGATTGGTTGGCGCGATCTGCCTATGGCGTGTAGTCAGAAGCCTTACGCGCGTCATTGACGTCACATTTAAAATTTGATTGATCGCAGGTGTACAGGAACT